AGCCGTGCGCCACCACACCTGGCTATTTTTGTATTTTTTTTTTAGTAGAGATGAGGTTTTATTATGTTGGTCAGGCTGGTCTCAAATTTCTGACCTCAAGTGATCTTCCCACCTTGGCCTCCCAAAGTGCTGGGATTACAGGCGTGAGCCACTGCGCCCAGTCCATATGTTGTTTTAAATACTTTACATGAATTAATTCATTTAATCTTCACAATGATCATACTGAGAGGAAGGAACTATTGCTGTCCTTACTTTACAGATAAGAAAACATACAGGGAATTGTTAGAAAGTAGGAAGGCCAGAATATGAACCCAGGCAGTATGGCTCCTGAACTCATGCTTCTAAGTACTACCCTGTATTAAGACTCAAATCTGTCCCTGTCCCTAGATTGGTTCCCACCTTGATGCTAACTGTGTCTGGATATCCCTGGTGTCCTTGACTCTGGCATCTCATGTGTCATCTTAGAGCCTAGACCCTAAAGGTCAGCATACATCTTAAATGCTTACTAATGACATTGAGATGAAGATGGTACAGCTCCTGACTTCAGGAAGCTTATGGACCAGTTATAGTGAGTCACTTGTGCAGCAGTATGTACAGAAGCCAGGGGGAGCCCTGCCCTTCACTGCCTGTGGACTCCCTGACTGCGTGCATCCTCTGACTCAGTCACCTTGTCTAGTCCTCTGTGGCATTGGCCCATTGCCTGGCCTTGATGGCCTATTGTGCTGTGTTTGATGGATGTATCCATCAGCATCCCAGCAGGATACAGATAACACTCTCAGGGGATGTGGCTGAAGAGAGTTTAATAAAGAGACATTTACTGAGTGTGAGCATGGTGAAGGAAACCAATAAGGGAAGGTGAAGCACTCAGGGGTGCTTGCCAATAACAGGGAGACATTACCCCTAGGCCTGAAGGGCCAAGGGAACACTGGCAACATCTGGAGCCTTGGATATGGGACTCCTGATAGGAACTCTCACCAGAGAGGAATGCAGCGACTGGTTATGGTGAGCTCATTCTGCTGCTATTGGAAACCAACTAGAATTCCAAGATCAGGGGTGCCTGGGTAATGCAGTTCTTAAAAAGTCAGACTCCTAGGGTGTAGAACAAGCTCAAGAAGAGTAGGGAATGGATTGGGAGGGGAGAGTCGGTTTGAAAGGAGAATAAGAAGCACACATAAAACTTACTACCCATTTCTGATTACTTCATCTTCTATGCCCACTCCTCTGACCTGTGTTAATCCATGCATCCATCCATCCATCCATCCATCCATCCATCCATCCATCCATCCAGAGCACTTAGTGTGTATGAGGTCTTTGTCAGACTATGAGGCTATAGCAATAACCAGTTCTTGCCCTGAAAGAATTCATAGTGTACTCTTGCAGTTCCCAGCTCTGTTCAGCATTTTGGATCCTGGTGTTCCCATCTGTTTCTGTCTTCCATCATTATTCCCAGAAAGCAATAACTATTAGCAATTGTAGTCCCTTTCCAGTAAGCATTCCAAAGGGCACTGTATCAGCAAGAGCTCTTTCAGTTGCAAGTGACAGAAAACCTAACTCAAATTGGCCTAAACCAAAAACAAACTCCAAGTGGAGTTTAGTGGCTCTTGGAACTGAGTATGTTCTGTCTTCAGGCTGTGATCCAGAAATCTAAATTCTCACCTCTAAGGTGGCTTCAGTATCAGATTCCACAAGGTGTCAGGATGACTACCAGCATCTCCCGCCTGTCTCCTTCCCACAGAACACAGTAGAGAACTCACCCCTCGAAGGCACTGCAAAAGTCTGCTTGCATGTCTGAATGATTCTGACATGGGCCTGTGATCTCTCACGAAAGCCTGTGATACTCCACAAGGCAGGAATGAGTCACATGCTCACTCTGGAGCCAGGAGAGGCTTCGTGTCATTGGAAGCCTGTGTACTAAGAGAGATGGGGCAGCTGGATGCTCAGGGGCAAGATCTAGGGGTCCTAAAAACACAATAGCATGTACCTGAACCTGCTATAGGCAGAGTGTCCAAGTTATTAACCCTCTCAAACTGGAACCAGGTCAGAGATGCTGGGATTTTTAGGTTTTAATTTTGTCTTTAAAAGGCACCTGCCCATGTTTATGTTCTCTTTCTCCCCCTAAACTAGAAACTAGAACACAAAAGACCATCCTTTTTAAAAATCACATTCCTTTAATGGAGTATATTTAGAAGAAAAAAGAAAGCTTTACATATGCTATTTGCATGGAGTCAGCTTATAATAAAGCAGGATGAACAGGGTCCACTTAGTTGACAGTTGTTTTCGCAGGCTTTTTGAAGTAGAAATATAATTTTTTTGTTTTTACTCAGAATTCATTTGGCATTAAAGGCTCCCCATAATGTGGTCCCATTAGTTGTGCACTTTAATCCAGATGTTGTATGGACTTTAGCGTCAGACAAAAATCCCAGTTTAACTATGTAAAGAGCCTTATGTACGTGGTCAAATTTACCATCTCTTTTGTGTTTTGATTTCCTCATTGGAAAGTGGAGAGTAGTGTACCATCCACTGCCAAACACTATAATCATTACTTTCTCTCTCTCTTTCAATATGTGTATATATATATATATATATACACACACACACACACACACACACACACATACACACATCTATATGGGGAAATGTATGTATGGAATGTACATATATTTTTATATATTCTCTCTGTTTCATATATATATATTCTCTATGTGAGTGAGTATATAAGCTCTCATTTAATCCTTGTGAAAGGTAGATGGTACCTGTTTTACACATGAGGAAAAAGGATCAATGAGATAAGTAACAAGCTTACGTTCATATGGTTTGTTGTGGTGGAGCAGGGATCTGAACCAGGTCTGGCAGTGTAAAAAGCCTGTATGCTTAGCTGTTGCACCTCACTGTCAGCTACATACTTTACAAGAAAGAGTTGTGGGGAAAATGAGATGCTACGGTACTTGTAGAGTGACTGGTTTGGTGTGGGTCCCCAGGCTAGTAGGGTAGAGGAATCTGTAGACATAATATGGAGTGAGAAACAGAAGAGTAGGCAGAGTTTGAGTCCTTCCTGCAATTACCAGTGTTGTGAATTTAGGCATGCCACTGACTTTCTTGTGTCTCTGTTTCCACATTTGTAAAAAAAAAAAAAAAAGATAATATCTAGATTGCAGACCTGTTATGATGGTTAAATAAGATAATGCTTGTAAATTTTATTCCCTCTTCACTCCCACCTCCCTTCCCCATCTCTGTGGTTTGTGGAAGGCATCCACAGGCTATAAAACCCTCTGTTAAAGTGTAGCTTCTTCGTCTGCCATTTGTATGATGATTCCATGGTGTCTGAGTGATTCTGACATGGGCCTGTGAGGAGAAAGGATCAATGAGATAAGTAACAAGCTCATGTTCATATGGCTTGTTGTGATGGAGCTGGGATCTGAACAAGGTCTGGCAGCTTCCAAATCCAGTGTGCTTAGCTGTTGCACCTCACTGTCAGCTACATACCTCACAAGAAAGAGTTATTTGTAAGTAAATAAAGAGTTTATTTGTAAAGTGGATCTTCACGTATCCTCTAAGGTAGAAAGAATGAGACACTGGGCTGTGCGCCATGGCTCACGCCTGTAATCCCAGCACTTTGGGAGGCCAAGGCAGGTGGATTGTGAGGTCAGGAGTTCAAGAACAGCCTGGCCAACATGGTGAAACCCATCTCTACTAAAAATACCAAAATTAGCCAAGTGTAGTGGCAGGTACCTGTAATCCCAGCTACTTGGGTGTCTGAGGCAGGAAAATCGCTTGAACCTGAGTCGAGGTTGCAGTGAGCAGAGATCGCATCATTGCACTCCAGCCTGGCAACAGAGAGAGACTCCGTCTCAAAAAAAAAAAAAAAAAAAAAGAATGAGACACTGTATGTAAAGGGCCCCCACCTCCTTTTCTTACCTATCCCACATCTCCTGATTCTTCAAGGTCTATCTGTGATGAAGAATCAAATTGGAACCACACCTTCCCCATGAGGACTTTCTTGATGACTACAGCCCTTCCTATGCCATCCTTTCAAATTCTGGTTTGTACTTATGTCTGTCCCACCTCCTGTATCTGTTATATGGTGAGGCCTCCATATCTAGGGCTCCAGTATCCACGTATTCAACCAACTGTGGATTGAAAATGTAGTTAGGCCCTACTATGGTTGCATCTGTACTGAACATGTACAGCCTTTTCTTTCTGTCATTATTCCCTAAACAATAAAGTGTAACAATTATTTACACAGAATTTACATTATATCACATATAAGTAATTTTTTTTAACACAATGTCTTTCTCTGTCACCCAGACTGCAGTACAATGGCATAATCATGGCTTACCGCAGCTTCAGCCTCCCAGGCTCAAACAATCCTTCTGCCTCAGCCTCCTGAGTAGCTGAGACTACAGGTGCAGGTCACCATGCCTGGTTGGTTTACTTTTTTAATAGATGGGGTCTTGCGATGTTGCCCAGGCTGGTATGCCATTTTATATAAGGAACTTGAGCGTCTTTGGGTTTTGGTATCCACAAGGGGCCCTGGAACCAATCCCCCATGGATACCAAGGGATAACTGTATTTACTAAGCACAGTTCTAGAGACATGAGAAGGACTCCATAGGTAAAATAGCAGCAATGGTAAGTTTTTTTTTTTAATCAGATAATAGAGATGTTAAAACAAGAATGGAATTTATTAAGTGCTAAAATTTTACATTTTTAAACTTCAGAGATGTAAGTCCACTGATATTAAAAGCCGCCTTGTCGTAGAAATAGTACAGTGAGGAAAAATTAGTCTGTTCTTTTTTTTAAAATTGGGAAACAATTTCCCAACATCTCTTAAAATAACCGGAGATATCTGGGGAGGTTACCGAAACTGAATGAAGAGTCTCAAATCCCAAGAAAGCATTGTGCAGATTTTGCTTATGAATATTGGTAGTTCTGTGTTGTATAATAAACCTTAATCCTTGACTTGGTTATGTGTAACTCTGTGTTTCCTTTTTTATATTTTAGATGGAACAGATTAAAAGGGCCAATAAACTGTTTACCAATGACTGTATATTTCTGAAGAAGACTTTGAACATCCCAGTTATATCAGAGAAGCCTTTGTTGTTTAACGGGCTTAACTCCATTGATTCTCCAGAAAATGAAACTGTTGATAACAGTTTTTCTCAGGAAGAGGAGCCAGTGGTGGCTGGGGAAGACCTTTCGCCTACCAGTCCTCAAGAATCTGATGTTCAGCCTGTGCAGCCTGAGGAAGTATCAGCCAGAGATTTCCTGCAGAGACTTGACTTGCAGATTAAGTTATCCACACAGGCAGCCAAGAAGCTAAAAGAAGAGAGCAGGTAAGAATACCCTGGTACAAATGTCAAAGTCTGAATAAATTACTATTAAGATGTCCTTGCTGGGCCAAATCTTTCTTCTTTCTTTTCCTTCTTTCCTTTTTTTTTTTTGCTTTAAAAACTGCATTTTAGTTCTAGAAAGGCATTTTTGGTGTATAAACTCTGAGCAGAGCTACTGCCTGCTGCACGAGGCTTTATCCGTTGCAGTGTTTTTATCTGTTATTTACTGTACAAAGTTTGCTTCTTTGCTTTAGTAGCCTCACTGTCCAGCTAGCAATTCTGGATAGCAGCCAAGTAAAATGTCTCTCTCATTGACACTTTCAAGAGAAGCAGTGTCATAGAAAATACCTGTAAAATATTGATCTTTATAAAACTTGTGAAAGACATTGTCTGTTATTTGTTACTGAGTATTTCCTACATAAGATCTCATGTGAGCTTTTTTCTTTGTTTTTTAAATTTGGTGTTAGGATAAACCTTTCTCTCTCCTATGGAATTGGTTTCCTTTTTTCTTTATGATTTGATTTCCAAAAAGCACAATCTACTGTGTTTCCTTTTTTGCTCTGGCTACTGGGAAGCTTGCAACTAAAATTGATACCTGGGTTCAGCTACTATAATATTTCTTATGATTAATACCTTGGTTTCCTTCTTCTTTCGTTAGTCCTGATTTTTTTATTTCTATTTTATTCATCTTATTATATATATGCCTTTTGTTGGTGGTATCTTAAATCCTTTTGAGAAAGAGGTGGAATATAGGAAACGTAAACAAATATAAATATGAATATAATTTAGTATAGATTTAAAATATATTTAAATATAATATAAACAAATATAAACACATAAATGAATGACATTATTTATCCCAATAACTGAGATACAAATAAAATGGAGACAGTAAGATATTTCTTAAGTATTGGCATTTCATACAACTTTCTAGGCATGAACAATATTCTAAGTTGATATATTCCTTCTTTGGCAAGTAGATATTAAATTGTATAATACATTTATGTTTTAGTTTTTTGAATACAGTTCTAAATACTGATTTATGCTGTATTTATTTTCTTTCAGAGATGAAGAAAGTCCCTATGCAACTTCCCTCTATCACAGTTAGGTGATTTGGGGACATAACTGAAACCAAAATTAAGATATGTTTGGACCATAAAGAATCCAACAAATGAAGATTCAAAAACATCCCTTCTGGATTCTCATAGTGTTCATCTTAAAATCGTAACTAGGTAGTTCTACCTGCTGCAATTGCACTGAAGTGATTAGTTCCCTCTGGCTTTCTATAATTGTAAGTCTTTGTTATGGCATGATGGCAAGGTTGTATCCTAAAGCTCATCACTTTTGTAGGTGGTGTTAGTTTTTAGACTAGCTTTTATAAATACTAATTGACATAAAGCATCAGAGACCTATTTATATATTTAGGCTAAAAATAATGTCTCCTTATGCAATCCTGATTATGTGAAACTATGGTTGCTGTTTAAGTGATGCTGAATTAGCTGTGTGTTTATAACTTAAGTGCTATAAATATACACATATATATTTCAATATGTCTTACATATTCTGTATTAATATAAAGAACCAAATTTTGTCTGCTATTTTGTAAAAATAAACCACAAAAGTCTGAATGAGAAAATAAACTATGTTTTCAAACTTGAATCTTAATTTTTTTAATAAATGAGAAAATAAAATTGACATTTATGTTATATATTTAAATGGTGATAGCCCCTTCTTCACTTTAATGGTTTTTATTATTATAAATATGAATTTTTGAAAAAAGTATTGATAATCTAAAAGTGAATCAATTACAGTTACTAGTAATCTTGGCATTTTCATTGACCTAATATGATTCAGATGTAATGAAAATATGGAATAAATCAAAAGAACAAATAAATAATACCATAATCTGATGTTATATTGCAGAATTCTAGTTTAGATTTAATTGCTAGGTTACTTTATAGAGTGTTTGGTAATATTGTACTTTTTTGAATTGAGAGATTTTTATTCCCATAATTTAATTGGTCTTTATTATATGTATAGTTTACAGTAGTACACTTTAAGCAATATATCATTTATAATTATATATTATTTTGGTCTCGATTTCTATTCACCTGTTACATTAAATAAATCTTTAGGCGTCCACTGAAATCCCCCATATCTACCCCATCTCAACATAGCAAAAATAATTTCATTTTCCTCTTTTTATTACTTTTTTTCCTCCCTTTTATCTTCCCTCATTTTCTTTCCTTCTGTCTCACTTCTTCAGGTCATCCAGTAAGCAAGAAACAAATGCCCTTAGGTGTTAATGCATCAGAGCTCGCAGAATTAGAACTGTACACTTCCAAACCCTAAGGCTGACCAACTGCTGCATCAATGGGAAACAGTAGCTGTCAGCCCTTGTCTTGCTGATTTTCTTGTTTGTTCATAACATACATAATCCTTTGTGTCTTTTCTTTTTTTGTCATGTTATAGCATCTTTGAAATAGGGTATTCTCTGGCCAGACACAGTGGCTTATGCCTGTAATCTCAGCACTTTGGGAGGCCGAGGTGGGCGGATCCTGAGGTTAGGAGTTTGAGACTAGCCTGCCCAGCATGGTGAAACCCCATCTCTACTGAAAACACAAAAAATTAGCCGGGAATGGTGGTACACACATGTAATCCCAACTGTTTGGGAGGCTGAGGCAGGAGAATTGCTTGAACCTGGGTTGCGGAGGTTGCATTGAACAGAGATCATGCCACTGCACTCCAGCCTGGGTGACAGAGTGAGACTCTATCTCAAAAAAAGGTGGTTTTTTTTTTTGTTTGTTTGTTTGTTTTAAATAGGGTGCTCTCTTGATCATGCTTTGCTGTTTTCTTGTATTCATTACCTGAACTGTGGGGAGTTAGTTGGATGAAGAGAGACCTAAATGAAAAATATAAGGGAAGGAAAACAGGTATGTATGTAAGAAAAGGTTCAAACAAGCCTCTGTGGTGGCCTAGGAACCATTAAAAATGTAGAGTTATCGTGCTATTGAACATAAAATGATCTGAAATTTGAGAGTCATCCAAAAGACTTTTGAAATTAAGACCACAATCTCAAAAACATTTTTTTTTCTGAGTATTTTATTTTTGCCTATGGTCTCTGTTAGCATTCTCTAGCCAAAACATTGCTCATCTTCAAGTTGTTAGTAACTTGGAATTCTTTGTGGCCACAGTTGAACTGTTCCAGACTGAGTACTTCAGTCCCTACCTTGCGCATAGAATCACTGGAGTGGGCTAAGAGACAAGAAACTTAGGTTCTATCCCAGCTTTACCATTTCTTGGTCGCACGAGCTGGAGCATATCCTGTGCTTTTGTTCCCTTTGTGAACCAGTTTCCTCATTTATAAAACAGGACTGATGATCTTCCTTTTGTTTTGGTTGTGGGTAGGAGCTAATGAATGCCAATGTGCTTTAAGAACTGCAATAAACTCCCTAAGTACATTCTTATTTTCAAAAATACTGCATAGGCGTTTAGATCCATTATAGAAAAGCGAATGGATAAAATGCTTTAGCCAGTGCCAGTTTATTGTCTGAGGGACATGCATGCAGCCTGTTTGGGTTCAGCTGAATCAGAGTCTGTCATGTTATCAAAGATGACTCATGGAAACAGTCCGGTTCACTGTGTTTTGGCAACTGTTATTTGGGCAAAGGTGTTTTTAGTTTCCTCTCTCCACCCATGGATGGGTATTGGCTTCTCTAGAACATACTGAGTTTAGTTTGTGTGTGTGTGTGTGTGTGTGTGTGTGTGTGTGTGTGTGTGTGTCAGGCTTTGGCTTTTGTTTGTTTTTGCAACTCTCTGGAGAGGATGGGAGAAGCAGCAGCCATCTCCTACCTGTGAAAACCAGCCTTTCCCTACAGTCCCCACCAAAAGGTGGCATACCAGGTAGCAGCATTCAGGACAGCAATGCAGGCGTCAGAAGACCATATGAAACATGGTCATAGTGACAGCTAATACACAAAGCATGTTATTTTTACAATTTGAAGCAAATATATAGAAAATATGTATGTAATTAATTTACACTGAATAATACATTTTCAAAGCATTCTCTGGTTTGGAAACATTAACTGTGAGCATTTCAAGAGGACCTTGGACCACTGTATGTTTGTTTCAGGGGCTATGTTTGCGACGGGGGCTGAGTTGCTGGGACCTGAAGTTCATTAACCTTTTCCTCCAGGGAAGCTGCTCTACCAGCTTTGGATCACAAGGAAGGAATGATCTTTATCTCTATTTCTATCCTACTGCCTGACCCTTTGCTCTCTGTTGAGAAACCTTGGCTTGGTTCTAATCCAGTTTAGATAACCGAGATGGGGCATACCTTTTTGCCTTGGTTTATGCAGTGTTTATGACCTCGTTTGTCTTCCTAGAGACGACATAGATATCCCTCTTGATAAGTAAACTCAGTGTCTGAAAAGTCACTAATAGGAAGTGTTAAGAGCAGGGGGAAATTGTTAGTGAATCCAGCAAATCTTGTACCCATTTATCTGGATCCTTTTTGTGTCACTGGGCCTAATAAAGAAACAGATAAAAAGAGCAGCCAAAAAAGCAGGCGGCTCTTCCAAAGTTCTGAGACTTTGAGAAAATGTGAATTTATTTAAACTCTCCAAAGGGAACTGCTAGTGGAAACGACATCTTGTAACAGACACACAAAGCAAGGTGCTTTGGTACCTGGCATGCCTTAAAAACAGAACCCCCTCAATACTTCAGGAAATGCTTGTGTGGATGAGACAGTGGGAAGAAAAGTGAGTTTTAGGGTCCATTAGAGGCTTTTTCAAAGCAACATATTCTGATGATAAAATATAAGTCTATGAGGAAATAAGGATTCCGTTTACAAAATCTCAGCTTACATACAACTTTACTTTCAGATAGTTTTTACAGGAAGAAAGCTATGTTTTAACCACCTCTAAAAGGTTAACTACTGTAAATTCAGCACTTTCTAATAATCCTTGGGTCAAAAATTTTAATCACAGAATTAGAAGTGTTTTAAGCTATATTATGTTTTCTGAAACAGTCAAAAGACTCCTGGATCTTTTGCTATTTTTACAGGCTGCTGTAAATGCGCTTGATGGCCTCAGCTTCTTCCTTGTCAAGGATGCCTTTCTCCACATAAGCATCAGCTTGTTGGTTGATGAAGTCCCTCATCTTCGAAAGGTCATAATCTGGAAAATATTATTAGAGCATCATGAGCAAAGATCAGGAAAGGCCAATCCCATTACAGTGATTACCATTAACTGAGGATTATTTTATACAATAACACAATTACCATTCTCCATCTTTCACATCGGGAGACATTTTAATTCTTGGCATTTGTGCAGTATTTTGCAGTATAAAATAATGTTTACGTGTATTATCTCATCTGCTTTTCATCACAACCCTGTGAGATGTTCAGGTGGGTCATATCATCCCCATTTGACCAAAGAGGAAATAGGCTCATGACCAGGGCTTTGCAAACTTTAATATTTATACCAATCACCTGGGGCCACTGCGAAGTTGCAGATTCATATTCAGTAGGTCTGGGGTGAGGATCCAGGTTATGCATTTTAAACAAGTTGTCAGGTGATACTGATGCTGTTGGTCCAGGGACCACACTCAGGGGTAAAGTGCCTTGTTCAAGGTCACATAGGTAGTCAAAGTTATGATTAGAACCAGGTGTTCTGACTTCCTGATTTACCCTTAGTTAACACCCTGTTGATGTGACAACCCACTCTTTTTTCAAATTAAGAGTTACTTTATTTCATGCTGTTTGAATTGTATGCAAGGAGCAAAAAGCCAGACTGTAAACTCTTTTTGGTTCCTGTGTCCTACTTAAACAAACAAAATCTATATAAATTACCAAAACATCCACCAAAAATAGAAATTTCCAAGTAAGAAGGCTGCCTATGAAACCTTTCCAAAAGCTTAAAAAAAACCATTTTCCCTTGATTTTTTAAGTATTAAGCAATTACAGCTGTAAATGACCAGACAGAACCCTGCTTTCTGTTAGTTGGTAAGGGGGAGAGAAAGGAGAGAATAGGTATAAAAGGGTGGTTTAGCAGCCACCCTTAGTGAGCCTGAATGTAATCTGAACCTAGGTTACTTGGGTATCCTTAAGCTTCTATGAGAAAGGAAAATGAAGCATGAAGGACCTCTCTACAATCACGAAGTGAGTGAGGCTTAGACAGGGCTTATTTCCTCACCAGCAAGCAGGACATCTGCTCCCTGTTAGGGCACAGCCATGAAGATTGAAAGAGAACTCCCAGCACTGAGCACTTGACAGCCATCACCTTAGTTGCTCCCCAGGAGGTTATAGGATATGACATTATCTAGCTAGCTATCCATCTATCTTCTATCATCTATCTATACAGGTCTTTGTCCATGATTCCTGACTTATAACTCCCATAGCGCCTGTTACAGCCTTTTGTCATAATGTTGGGGCACTTAGGGCCTCAGAAGAAGGTCTCAGGAGGCAGAATCTTTCTCTTTCTCTGACCTGCCCTCCTTTCACCTGCCCAAGGCAGGATTCTAATCTGATTGTGGGTCATAAGACCTTTGCTCCATAGAGGGCTCTGCCCCAAACCGTGGAGGAAGGATGCATCACAGAGAAGCCATGAAGAATCTGAAGTGACAGGCCTTGCTGGGTTTAGGCCATGCCCTTTTTGTCC